TTATATATATATATATATATATATAATAAAAATAAAATTTCTGATTACATCCAATTTTATATATATATAAAATTATTTTTTTAACCATGTGTTTGTGTTATGAGGCCCTAATTCTGAAAGCTGATCCATGTGAAGGATTGTCTATGCCTGTGCAGAGCCTTAGTGGAAAAATTGTAATTGTAGGGGTAGAGAACTGTTTGCAGGAGAAGGTATATGTATCTGACAGTACTTCACTTAAGATGTGTTTTTACATTCATGTTAAGTGTGCCTTAAGATGAATGGGACATCCTTTTTAGCATTTATATAAATGGCAATTGGGCTCCACAGGGGTTCAGGATTCTACCCATGCAGATCAGCTTGCAGGATTGAGATCTAAATGGAAAAGATATCTGCCAAATGTCTTAAACTTTGTCTTAATTTTCTTGGCACACTTTTTTGGTTTATATTTTTGTCTTTCCCTTTGAGATACTGAGTTGTGGGTGTAGAGGCCCTGGATCAAATTGTGTAAACTCTTCAGGGCAGTGACTGATCTGTTTTTTATTAAGCATTGCATAAATCTGACACTATAAGCAGCTGATGTTGCATTTGAGTCACACAAAGATGATATATTGCATCACAGATTGAGCCAGTATCTTCTTAAAAACTTGCAGTGCAGTAACAGTGATTTTTGTGCATCTCTGCACTTTAGTTTAACACCATCTTGATTCTCTAGTCTCCCTCAGTCCTCCTGTACTCTTGCTCCCTCCAGTATTGCCTGCATTGGGTGGAAAGCTAAGTTCCCTGTAAGCTGCGTGGCTGTGCAGCAGGCTCTCAAGGGCCTTGCAGGCAGGGAGAGGTGCCCCTCCTCTGGCCTGGCCCCGGCGGAGCTGCTGAGGAGAGGAGAGGTGCCACTCCTCCAGCCCCGAGCTGCTGTGGCAAGAGAGGGTCCTCTCTCTCTCTTCTCCTCCCCCCCCCACTGCATCCCCGGGGCAGCCTACACCCCAAACCCCTCATCTCTGGTCCGACCCCAGAGCCCGCACCCCCCGCATCCCAACCCTCTGCCACAGCCCTGAGCCCCCTCCCGAACCCTTCATCCCCAGCCCCACCCCAGAGTCCACACCCCAGCCAGAGCCCT